AAGGAAATTCGCAGGATTGTCGACTTGCGTATTCACGAGATTCAGAAGCGGCTCAACGACAACGACCGCAACGTCACCATCAGAGTGTCGGAGGCGGCCAAAGACAAGCTCGGTGCCGCTGGTTACTCACCAGCCTATGGTGCCAGACCTCTCCAGCGTCTGCTTGAGAAGGAGGTGCTCAACCGCATGGCCGTCCTCATCCTACGCGGCAATATTCGCGATGGCGAGGTGGCTCGCGTCGAAGTCGTTGACGGCAAGGTGACTGTCCTTCCCAACCACCATGACAGTGATGGTTCGGACTCGGAGATGATGGTTGACTCGGACGATGCTCTTGATGAGGTCGCGGGCGACTCGATGGATGAGGACCTTTACGCTGACTAGGAGTCTGGTAAGGGCCAGATGAAGTCGGAGTCTCCTGATATCAAGATGGAGGGAGAGGCTTAAAGAGTCAATGGAAAATTCATAAACATATGGAGCGGTTGTTATGACCATGGGATTAGGAAGGGCGTTTGCATTGGGCATTTTATGATTGCGAAGGTTTATTTCAAGGGTTTACCGGGCATAGGGATATTTTATGACAGAGGGGTGGCAGTTTTACGCCGTCGAAATGCCCCGGAAAATCAACAAGAGGCTTGTACATTATGTAGACGACGTGATGAATATAATCATGTTTGTGATTAAGATATTTTGCTGTAATGACATTGTGATTCGTGTTCAAGGTGTAATGTTGAGTGTTTGACGTTCGTGGTTCGTGGTTCGGGGTTCGGGTCAAAGTCAAGGGATTGGTGGTTTATATGTGCCCCATAATTTCCATCCAGTCAGAGGCAAGAATTGATTTACCCCAAAAAATGTTCCATTCTGGCGGGCGGCTCATCTTCGGTGCGTGCGCTGCAACCCGACTCTCACAACGAAGCCAGCTGGAGGTTGCCCGGTCTTTCTTTTTTTTGCGAATTTATTTACTACCTGGAGGAAGCGACCGCGCGCAACTTTTCCGGTCACCGGCGCCCAAATTTTTTAAATTTTTTTCGTCCTTCGAACCGACCGACTGATCGATTTTATCCCCGAATTACCCGTACGAACGAATGAGGTAGTAGGAGGGGGGAAACGAGAGACAAAGAAAAAGCAAAGATGAACTCGTTAAACCTAAAGCCAGCAGCGCTGCAGCTGTTGGCAGCAAGGCCGACGGCGACGACAGCAACGGGGAGGATATTTACGAGGTTGGCGATGGGAGCGATACGAACGGTGTATATTCCCAAAAAAGACAGGCCGGTAGAAGAGCGGGGGATGGCGAAATTCAAGAAGGGGAGGGGGTATTTGGGGGAGCAAAAAGATCCTCAGCCGGAAGGGCACGGGGAGCGGATATGGATTTTCAGTCATATTATGGAGGGGCATGTTGTTTGGAGTTTTACTCCTGATATGAGGGTACGTCTTTTTATCTTTTCACACACACCTTGGGGAGGGGGCAAGAGCAAGAAGGCGGGGTATACAGAGGGAGGGCGTCAAGAGGGGGAATAGGACGGGATCAAGAGGGGGGCAAGAACAGAACAGGGAGAGAGTTTGTGGTGCCGCAAAAAAAAAGAGGGGGAACATCTCAGGGAGGAGCAGGACTGGAGGAATTGGAATGGAGTCATACGGTTTAGGGGAGGGCCGGAGAGAAGAGACACGCCATGGAGAAACCAAGAAACAGAACGCTAACAAGAACAAAAAACAGGTCAACAAAGCCTTCCGCCAATTCCCCTACACCGGAAAGAAAAACGTCCCCGCAAAACTCCGAAAAGACTACTGGCGGCCCATGGCCATCCTCGAGTTCCCCAAGGGTCTGGGGGATGTGGGGAGAAGCGTCTACCACAAGTGCCGCGAGCTGAAAAAGCGCCACGAGCTCGAATGGGAAGACGAGTCGCTGCTCAACATGACCAAGCGCCAGCGCGGCAGAGAGCTCAACGACCAGAAGGCCAATACCGTCGCTGATATCGCGTACGTTCTTGCTGGTAACGGAAAGGGAAACAAGGTTCCGGTGACCAAGGTCGTGAAAGAAGAGATCCCGCTTCAGGGCAAGAAGAGCCAGAGTACGGCGGCCACTGCTCCTGTGGAGGGTGAAGAGGGAGAGGGAGAGAAGAAGGAGGTGGTGGTCAGGACCAAAACTGTGGAAAAGGTTGTCGAAGAGCTGGATGCGGAGGGAAAGAAGAAGTTGCACGAGGTCACGGTGTACTGGGCCAATGAGCAAGACCGCTATTATGCGGAGAGCTGGTCGAAGAATGTGAGCCATGTTGTGGGATTGCCGGAACGGGTCTATACGAAGAGGGAGGATCCGAAGAAGAAGAAGTTGAGGATTGAGGGGGAGAGGAAGGCGTGGGCGGAGAGGAACCAGAAGGGGATCGAGGGGAAGGTGGAGGAGGTTGCGCAGAAGGTGGTTGAGAAGGTTGCTGAGGACAAGGTTGCTGCATAAATGATGGGGGAGAGAAGAAGAAAAAATGTATTTGTAGGCTTTGTACAACAAAATGAAGATGATTTGTGTATACCAAGGGTTAGAAGGTATATTATGATGGATCTACAACATTAAGAAGGATGCCTGCTATCTTCTTCAATTCCCCCAATAGATACTCGCCCTTTGTTTACCCTGAATCTTACACCAAAAATAAGAACCCTTTACACCTTGATAGCAAAAGACTTGAGATACTCATAATCAGCCACATTTGCATCCACCGTCTCCCTGATGAGCTTCTGGCCCCTTTCCCCGTACTTTTCCCTCCACTGCGCATTTTCTTCGTCAACCGAGAGAACCTTCTGTCCTTTGTCAGCGTGTTTTTTTTTTCCCCACCTCTCTCTCTTCCAAAGGGAAAAAACTTACAGGCCCATGCTCCCTGGGCTTCAACTCGGTGCTCCCAATAGCATCATCATGGAACCCGTTCCACTTCTCAAACGCCTCCACCGCTCTCTTTTTGTCTTCCTCCCCATCCCACTTGAGCATTCGTTCGTGGAAATCAATCCCCACGTCCTGGCAAAATTTCTTTAGGACATCTGCCGGTTTGTCTAGGAGATCGTCCGCGTCGACTACTGTGATCTTGATGTCATTGTTGCCAATGACGGATTCTGACTTGAGATAGTCGAATAGGCGGCGGAGCTCGTCGTAGCCGGCTTCGCTGGGCATAAAGTTTGAGAAACCCGTTTTGGCGTCCAGGGGCGGGATGGTGCAGCGGTAGTAGGACGGGATGGCGCGGCGGGGGTGGCGGATGAGGAAGGTGAAGTGGAATTTTGTGAGTAAGGGGAGGGGGAGGACGGTTGGGTTTTGGGGGGTGGTGCCGTTGGACAGGAAGGTGTTGTATTGGTCTGCCAGGGAGGGGGCGAGAGAGGCGGGAGCGTTGTTGGGGGGGAGGAGGTAGTGGGCTATGTCTTTTATGAAGATGCGTTTGTTCTGTTCTCAATGTAAGTTATACTGGTACTGAAAATGAAGGTGGAAGGTTGAGGGTCTGAGGATTATGTGAATGTACGAGGGGGGAAATCAAGCTACCTCTGTGTTCTCGGGCGGGTTGAGCACTTGGTCGACCACATGCTTGTATGTTACGTCTGCGAAACCACTCTTCTTTCTGGCTTCTTCATCTTTTGCGAAGCGTTCACTTAGCCTCTCTGGACCGTAGTAGAAGGCTGTTGAGGTCAGTTATGAGTCCGGATTTGGACATGGGGGACATGGGGCTCGGTTTACCATCACCAAACGGTTCATGAATACAGTACAAGATATCATGTCTGGTCATAAACACTCTCTCAAAAGCAGTAGAGCAGGCTCTTGGGTGAGTAGCAACGAAGATGGGTTTTGAAGACATTTTTTGGCTATTATTTTTGGTGATAGTTCGGCAAGGCGGAGGTGGTAAAAGACAAAATGTAAGATGACATTCCTCCGTCCCAATTCCCAGATTTCAAGGGCGTCCATCCTCTCCGCTTTTAAACACATACACACACAAGAACCTTGGAAAACTCTACAGCCGGCCTTGGGCCGGACAAGGTGTTTGTTTTCGGTAACCACCGGTTTCTTTCTGCTGCCTGCTCTGCCATGATTCAAACTTTTTTTGGGTGGGAAGCGTGGGATGTGGCAATTGTTAGACAAACCCACCTTGTTTCTCCTCGGGGGAATAAGCACTATACCAGTTTATAACTGAGAAAAACTCAAGAAAGAAACTAATTGATCAATCTGGGAGGTTTTTCATAGTAAAAGTCAAGAGGACGTTCATGGTTTGGCAAGGCACGTGCTCTTGGCATGGAGATCCCATGATGCTGTGAATCTGGGAACGTTGTTGGAGATGGGGGGCTCAATGGTGTCATAGTTCCTGGGTTGTATGTGGGGGTTCGTTCCTCTTCGATGAGATCCGTCCGGGCTTGGAAATCTCTGCCTTGTGTTCAAGTTCCCCATTGCATGCAGCAACATTCCGGTTGTGCAAGGAACCCAATTGGGTCGCTTTCTTTCCTGTCTCCTGTATTGGACTACTAATGGCCACGTGCCTGGAGATGAGTTATCATTTTTTAGAGAGAGAAGAAGGAGTGATACTGACAAGTGCAGACAAGATCAAGAGAGTTGCTGTTGAAGAAAGAAAGGGACCTGCCGTCCGGATCGAGGTACCGTTCGGAGGGCCCCACATCATGTCGTGAAGTTGGTCGTCGCTGCCTTGACTTGGTTTCCTCTTTCCAAATGCTAGGTACATTGAGTTGCCATGCTCTTTCCAAGTGCCCTAGGGAGTCGATGTGTTCTTTCGAAATCATTAATAGAGATAATAGAGACATCGGACAAAGAGAGCGAGAGGCACAAGTCTAAACCTCCTACAGCATATTAGGCTGGAGACCCACTTCTAGATGAACAAAGTCTAGGAAAGAACGAGCATCACCATCGTTCTTTCCCATTTCTACAGAAATGTGTTTCCTAGGCGAAAAAGAACCAAAGGGACTTTAAGAAAAATATAAAAATATAAAAAATATTACTTAAAAAAAAGCAACCAAAAAATACGGCAATTTCACTCCGGTACGGGGAATCGAACCCCGAGCTTCGCGGATTTGGTTATGTTAATTTAACTTGAAAACGCGATATGTTGACCGTTACACTATACCGGATAGTATTTCTCGCTGTATGACTGCAGCAGAAACGCCCCACATATGTTTCTCAATCGTGCCTTCTCTTTGTTTTCCCCCTCTATCCACGAAAATCATTATGCAGTGACGGCTTTTTTCCGACAAGAGAAGGTTCACTCGTGGACGATTATACTGCTCTGTCTCTGTAAAGCACTTTTCTAGGGAGAGCTAACCTATGCAGTTTCCTCGTCCTGGTGGTCCTCTTACACCGGATCATACGCTTCAGTGCTAAGCTGTATGTCTAAGACGTGATATATAGAATAATAGCCCCCTGTGTCAAGTCTCGTAACATTTAAGACACATCATTTGCCTTGAGATAGCAGAGATATATCATATTGGAGCTTACAGGATGCGTCTATATCAAAGTTCACTTGGAGTAGGGGTTCTCCACCTCTCTAAGCATGTCGATATATACCGTGACTCCCTTGAGCAGACCGATCCTGCCTTTCATCGTCCACCATCATATGATTTGATGTGTCATAAACCGGGAAGCGGAAGGCACAGAACTCTCCCATAGGCTGATGCCAATGCACTTCGATCGTCCTGGAAATTGACGTGATTTCTTCTTCCCCCCTCATCAAACCTTCGATCGGCCGACTTCAAATTGAAGCCACTGCAACAAACTCATCCTAAACCTGTCACATCTGATGCGGCATGTGAAATCATACTCGACCGCCTTAAAGACAAATTGCCCCAATCATCAAAGACAATGCAGCTTTCGGTGTTCGGGCGGTGAGTCCAGAGTCCGCGCCGAGAGCAAACTGACAGACTTCAGATTTCCCAAAATACTCACCTGCTTCACCACACTTGTCAGCTGTCAAAAGCAGCTAACTAGACCGCGGTCGGTCTGTGGGTGTTGACCTAAAACAAAGTGACGCAGCGGCGTGCCCACCGGTACTTTCGAATATCTTCGCAGCCTGGTTGCGTCATTCTCACGATACTCTGTCTGAGTTTGTCACGCTCACGGTCGGCAGAGACACTGCCTCCCTGATATCTGTCAGAGTAGCTGTCAGCAAATGTCATTGACCTGGGATGGCATTGATGTGTGCTTTGACAAGACAAGCAAACCTGACTCTTTCGAGATCGATTCTGGACAAGGCCTCCCGGAGTTTGAGAAGATTTCGGAGCAACCTGGTTTACTGACGGTTTCTGCTGGCTCGGACAAGCTGTTACTGTCAGAACGAAATTTCAAACGACTTGAAAACAATGAAAAAAAGCTTACCTCGAACTACATGCCAACGTTTGAGCTTGGCTTGATGTTCAGCCATTCAAGGTACCGACCCTCTGGCCGAGGCTTTACCCCCAATGCATTAGGGCTTGCATCAGCGTCAATGGAACTTGCCTTTGCAAACCAAACACCTCTTAATCCTCAGTATCCAAGCACACACTCCTTGAGGCCCAGCTACCCCCAAGCTAACCGTTCCTGACCAGATATCGCGATCGAAACGTGGCGGTATCTTGAGTACACCTCCAACAAGGAATTCAGACCCCCCACCAGCGAGACATTTGACGCCCCTCGCTTGTTGAGACACACGAGAAGTGGCCGCCGGTATGCAACTGCGAGAACGCCGATCATTGACTCTGGCTCTCTCGCCATGAGAGGACTTCCTTGTCAGCGGGATGAACTAGTCGCTTGGGAGTTCTTCCGGTCACCACCATTGGCCACAACTATCTCGGCGAGACAACAAAGTGCTCCATATGTCGCAGACCTGGTTCAGCGCTTTCGAATATACTACCTCTGTACCACTTGACACCCCTCATCCAACACATACTGCGTATGCATCAACAAAGCCGTCCACGACACTGACACCGACATCATTAGCTCAAGGCACATGTTTGCTCCTGCTGTCACCCTCCGATCTAGTTGCACAGATCTCTAGTATCTTTCTGTTGTGTACAGGATGAACATGTGTCTGATCATGCTCCATCCTCGGTCCGCGTGTAGCAGACACACACATGCAAAGACGAGGGGTCGGAGCTTACGGAGTTTCAAGTACGGGATATAGCCAACATTGCTATGTCCAGGATGTACCGACTCAATACGAACACCGCCATCACATGAGTACGCGGTTGCAACCACACCTGCTTTGCGAGAGAAGCTGGAAATTACCAAGATGTCCAGTGACTACGAGTCGTTTGCCCTTGATTTTGAGACATTGTCAACCTGGTTGACGCAACTTACCACGGGCGCTGTCAGCACATGCACCTGCCTCGTCTGCGAGTTACGATCAGATCGAGACATGACACAAGAGGTTGGTTTCTCTTCTTTTTTTTCCATTACTCCGATTCGATTCGGCCCCTCCAAACTCCCGACAAGAAACAAGAGAGAAGCAGAAGAAAACGGACGACAGGTGTGATCCGCCGTCGTACACGCAAGGTGTTGTACACACATGAACCTTGCCACCTGCATATTCACAACAGAACCCATCCCTGGAAATCTTCGGCTGCGGGGGAGCAGGAAAGTTCCAAGAATGGGAGGACAGAGGGGTAAGGTGACGCGCCGCGGCTTTCTTGACCGCTTCTTACCAGGTAATTGTGTAATCATATCCAATATATTCCGTGTAATCCTTCGAAAGGGGAAAATGGCTACCTGGGGACTTTGGATGTACAGGAGAGAGGCAAGGCAAGGCAAGGCAAGGCAGTTTTCGTCTTGCATAGTCTTGACTCACATGAGCAACTACCCGGCTGCGGAAGTTTCCTTTTCTGTTTTCGTCTGATATTCGATGGGAACTCTCTATCTCGCTGCTGGCCGCCTGCTGCCTCGGCCCCCTTTCCGTCTTTGCACATGATCGTGCGCTAGGCAAAGCAGGTCGGTCGGCAGACGACGTGGTTTGACGACATTGTTCACACTGCATGAGCGGTCTAGATTGGATGCCTTACGCTTATGCTTTGGTGCCTGTCAGTTGATGAAAGGTAGGTTGGTATAAGGCACAAGTGGGTGGCTCAAGGGTGATAATGGTGGGCTGGCCTGGGCTGAGAGGCTGATTATGTCTAGTCATCTGACATTTCCTGACTTCTAAGGTGATGAAGCTTATTGGTATGGTGGGTTACTCGACAGCTTTGACCGAGATCTCCTTTGAGGAGAAATGTACTGTGTGTGTGAGAGTACAGAATACGGGGAACAAGGGGGGGGGGGGGGCCTGTCTGAGAGGCTGGGATGCGGAGGAAGGGGGGGAGGGGGGGAGGGGGGTTCGGTCATAATACTCCATCATGTAGCTAGCCTTTGCTCGATGACATGACGGTAAGAACCCGGACCTGGACTAGTCTCCAGTTTCCCGCCTGCCATCGTTGGATGGATGCGGAGATGATGCTCCCACCAACTGTAGGTACATACAGACATACATATATACATATTATATGTGCGCATAATACTCTAGCTTCAAGCAGTGCCACCATACCATGTCCCAATCCGCGACACGCTACAGCATACTTGGATGTTCCTACATGTCCTGCCGACATTACCTACTGCGTGCTTACTGCCCCCTTGTTTGCCCCTTTTACGTCGCTGCCACCGTGACCCATAATACTGCAGTTAAATATGCAGAGAGAGAGATAGATACCAATATATATATAGCTTTACCGGGATGACCCCATCTCCTTTCACATGTTAGATAAGTGCACTGATCTTTTTGCTCCCGAGAGTCCTATCCGATGTAAGGTTGTATGTAGGTAGGTAAGGTATGTATAAAGCAGCTAGAAATGTCTTTGTCTCGCACGATCTGAGACAAGGTAACCAGATGATCACCCGCGGATGTATGTATGTTTGCGTTTGGTGGTGTTTGTAGTGCAGCAGCAGCAGCAGCAGCAGCAACGACGGCGCGCATCATCTCAGGACTCTTACATCCAGCCTATCATTTTGGTTAAAGGTACGTCGAAAGGAGAGGAGAGAGATATGCTGTGTACGTGATAGAAGTTATCTAGATCGGATAGCACACTCACCGCCAGTATGTAGCAGGAAACGGGAAGAAAGAAAGGGGAAGCAGAGAAGAGAAAGAATCTGTATGTTCATGTTGTGTACTTTTAATGGGACGGGTATGTCGTGGATGGGTAGATCCAGTTGCTCACCGCTGCTTGATCTTGATCTCTTGATCTTCTCTGACAACTTTAGATGGATGGGCCTGGCAGGATAGGTAAATTTGAGACGGGGAGTCCGTGATTCTGCACATAATGTTCCTGGATTCGTTGTCATTTTTCGCGCTTGTAGGTAGCCTGGAGATTTGGGTGTCGGAAGGTAGGTTGGGATATGAGCGATGAAGATGTGTGTTAACCAAAGTTTGGAGACTAGGTAGCAAGATATTGGCAGGTTGGATGGAACAGAACAGTTTTATAACTTTTAGTCATTTTTACTTCTTTTTTTTTGTTTGCTTGGTCTGAAATAGCTAGCTACTTTTTTCTTCTTCCTTTGCCTTCCACCAGCGTGTAATAACGCTTCTCTTTCTCTTTCTCTTCCTCCTAATATAGTATGATGTTTTTTTTTTTAAAAAAAGAAGAACATTTGGTATCTCTCTAGACAGTAAGTAGTAGTGATAACCCGAGGGCAATAAATAGCCTTGAAAGACTCCCCGAAATTCCCTAGAAGCTCTTGAACGGAAAAAGAAAAAAAGAAAGCAAATGCCGCAAATATGATGATCCCATGCTGTGATGATGCTGTTTCAAGCCAAGTAAAGAAGAAGAAAAACGCCCCATCGGACTTTGTGTCCTTTGTTCTCAATCTCTTCTTCTTCTTCTCTTCTTCCAGTTTAAACTCCTGCCCTCAGCCTAAAAGCTGTTTGATACCCAGCAACCCAAAAGACCAGACCAGTGAACGCCCCCGAGGGATTTTGGGCCATCTGAAAATGCCTCAAGTTGATGATTAAGAAAAAGAAAAAACCGATCCTGAAAAAGAGAAACCTGCGAGCAGATTAAAGAACAGAAAAATAGCGTAGTGCGGGCGGTGAGAAAGGGGATCTGCCGAGTCCAGAACTCCCTAGCGCTTGCGTTTA